GTGATTTTCTGATGATGTTTTCTGCTTTTTTTTCTGACACTGAAAAACATATTTAATGGCTGTTTGACTGAAAAGGTATATATACTTGGCTGTGACATCATTTCAAAACTTGATGAACGGACCAATAGAAATGCTCCAAAATCACCTGCAATAAATCATCTTTACAGTAACCTACGATGAAAGTAAAGAACGTTTTTGCGCTCTCCTGTAAACGCACTGTTTTGGAGATACATTTTTCTCTGGACAGCGACAACATATCTATCTACACTCTTAAAAAGATGGTTCTTCCAGGGTTCTTTAGTAAAGACAAAGGTTCTATGTAGAACCTCGGACACTCAAAGAGCCTTTTACATGCTTAAATGGTTCTCTGCATGGTGAAATGGCTCGATTGGTTGTTACAATGTGAAGCTTGTACACACTTAAAAAAGATGGTTCTTCAAGGGTTCTTTAGTAAAGCAAAATAGTTCTATATAGAACCATGAACACTATTTGCATGATTAAAGGGTTCTTTCCATGGTGAAAGGGTACTTCAAAATGATGGAGAGTGTGCTGGTGCAAGCTTGACATCATAACAGTAGAAGAACCCTTTTTGGTGGTATATAGAACCATTTTCAAAACAGAACCATCTACAGCACATTCTCCATCGGTCTAAATAACCCTTTCACAATGCAAAGAACCCTTTAATCATACAAAGAGTTCTCTGAATGTTCATGGTTCTGTATGGAACAAATTTCTTTACTAAAGAACCCATGAGGAACCATCATTTTTAATAGTGTATACAATAGAAGAACCCTTCTTGGTGCTATAGTGAACCATTTTCAAACACAGTCTGAAGAACCATTTCACTGTGCAAGCATAAGCACATTTAATATATATATATATATATATATATATCTCACACATATAGAAGGTTTTATTGGTTTCACAGCAGGACTATTTTGTGTCTGTTGAAGCCGCTGGTTTCTTTCTCTATTGACTGACTGATTAATTGATTAATTGATAATCGCTGCGCTCTGTTCAGCTGCTCTGAGATCAGATTAAGTCTGTTAATGAAAAGCTCCTTTTCCGCTCAGAGTCGATTAGAACAGATTCTGATCATATCAGCTGCTTTAGGATCGAAATCAAAACTCTAATTCTTTTCTTTACCCCCCCACCACCCCACCCACCCCAAAGATAGCAGTTAGCATTTTCAGCCGCTAGCACAGACGCACTCCGCTATTCAGAACCATAAAAACAACAAAATACAATGTGCATAATTGAAAACATCATGATATGTAAACAGCAAAGATATATTTCATATTTCACTTCTGATCCCCCCCTCAGTGGCCCAGAACAGCTGGGTTTAATATTAAAACCATTTACAGTGTGCAGAGAGACTCTATAGGCAACAGCAGGGGGCCACGCACACGCACGGGTCAAAAGGTCAAAAGGTCAGGCGGCTCACCGGAAGCAAATCAAGTGTCAGAAAGTGAATATTGTATAAAAATATACAGTGGTGATATTTCTCTTCTTCATAAACATTTAAACCCTCAAAAAACAGCTTTTAATCTTTTTCTTTTTTTGCACAAATTCTGCTATTTGTGTGTGCATATATGTGTGTGTGTGTGTGTGTGTGTGTGTATGTGTGTATATATGTGTGTGTGTGTGTGTGTGTGTGTGTGTATGTGTGTATATATGTGTGTGTGTGTGTGTGTGTGTGTGTGTGTGTGTGAAGGTAAAGGAAAGATTTATGGTTAACACTCACTCTGTTTCCCCACACACACACACACACACACACACACAGAAGGAAAGGAGGAGGAGAGGAGGAGAGGAGAGGAGGAGAGGAGTGAACGGCTGGAGATCTGTACAAAGAGTGGTGAGATTTTAGTGATTTTAGAGCTTTAGAACGTTTAAAATCCAACAAATATCAACGTTTTCTCTGTTCTACACGTCACTGTCGGTCAGCGCTCAGTTCGTACAGCTACACAGACATTTCTAAAGGCCTTTAAACGGCCTCGTCTTTCATAAAGGCCGCTTTATACCAGCTTTGATGTCGACACCCTCGCCAGATATCAGCGTGACGTCCCTGTGACGTGCACTCTTAGAAGAGATGGTTCTTCAGGGTTCTTTAGTAAAGAAAATTGGTTCTATATAGAACCATGAACACTCAAAGAACCCTTTGCATAATTAAACGGTTCTGCACATGGTGAAAGGGTTCTTCAGGTTGATGGAGAATGTACTGTATATGGTTGTATGTAGAACCAAAAAGTGTTCTGCTATTGTTACAATGTCAAGCTTGTAACAGTAGAAGAACAATTTTTTGTGCTATAAGAAGCCGTTTCAAAAAAGGTTCTATATAGAACCATATACAGCACATTTTACATCAATCTGACCATGCAATGAACTATTTAGGCATGCAAAGCATTCATGGTTCTATATAGATCCACTTTCTTTACCAAAGGACCCCTGAAGAACCACCTTTTTAAGAGCGAACGCTGAGAAAGTGTCTAAAATCAGAAGTCACTGGCCGTTGTTTTCACCCACAGCTCTGACGCTCACTGATTTCATTATTGGTGTATCTGTAAAATCAAAATCACGTCTGGTGTAAATTTGTAGTTTTAACAGCTTGAAAAATGCCAGGAAACATCACTGTATCTGAAAAAAGGCCACATTTTGTTCATTTCATATTTTGTTCTTTTCAATTGTTGTGATTTGATGATTTGAACACTAATGTAGCTATTGTAGCAATTTATATATATATATGTATATACATATGATTCTTGTTTTACTTGTGATTATTTTATTATTATTTCAGTCAGTCAGTTTATCCTCCTTTTATTTTATTTATCCTCTTTTGATTTTATTAGCTTTTATATTTCAGTTACACTTTATTGTTTCATATTTTCTTCTTTTATGTATTTTTTCGTATTATTAATGAGTCATTTTTATTATTAAATTTACTTTTATTGTTTGGTAAGTTTTTACACACTATCAGTCCCTTTTTCTGTATCAACTCAGCAACATTGTAAATGAGGGTCACCCTCAATGTTCTCTGAGGTTAAAGAAAGGTTGATTCGTTGATTGATTGAGTTTAAGCTCTGGCCAGCAGGGGGAGCAGCTCAACTACAAACTCTGCGTATGAGCCGCTGAATAGCTTTTGTTTTATTGGCTCACTGTGAAAACATCTGTGCTTCATGTAATTATATGAACATCAGGGCAAATTGGGGCGTGTCTATTGCAAATGATATGTAAATAAGGTACTCATGCGCCGGCGCTTGTTTCAGGAAGCACAACTTTGACAAATAAAGGCCAGAATTGACTGACACACACGTCATGTGCCACCTATGACGACTGACATCTGGTGGAATAAGTGTTTATGATTACTTATTGTTATGAAGGCCTTATGCAGGTGTCATGCAGACTTATGAACGCTGGCCTGCAGTGGAGTGTTACACATTTTTCCCTCCAAAAGTGCTTTTAAACAGTGTTTTTATCCGTCTGCTGAAACATAAAAGCCACTGTGAGTCAGTAAGAGAGGTCAAACCATAAAACCACACTTATACAAACATTAACAAGGCATTGGGGGTGTGTGTGACGTGAACGTTCTATGATTATCTAGTACAATATGAATGATAAATTAACACAACAAACCAGCCACTGAAGAAGAAACCTGTGTGTGCATGTGTTGGAGTGCAGGCTGTGTTTTAGAGGAGGGAGTGAGTGTAATTTCTCTATAAATCAGGGGTCTCAAAATCACAAATACACAATTTTCCTTTAATACAGCCCGAAAATGACTTTATTTCATTTCCATCTGATGGTAGATCTGCTTCACCCGTCTGGCTCCCCAACACGAGCTCGATAAAATCAGCTCAGACTGATGATCAGGAAGTGTAAAGCAGAAACAGAGCGCCGCACGCTCAGGCGCAAACCTGACGCAGCAGGAGCGCCGCACGCCGACTGTAATTTAGCCACAGCTAACTCTGATAATGATCTAATTTAGAGCGACAGTCAGTTAAATCTGCCCTCATGGATTCATTCAGGACTCAGTGTGAGATTCACAGTTAGGAAATGAATAAAAATATCAAACTAATCCAGTGAGAACGCAGATTCAAACGATCTCCACTCGCGTTTATAATGCTTACAAGATAAGAGTCCTATATAATTCTACTGTTAAAGATGTTTATTTGATGTAATTGAACATAAATATCTATTAAACGCTTTGTTTATTTATGTTACTACTGATAATAATAATAATAATAATAGTAATAATAACAATCATTACTATTATTATTAGTAGTAGTAGTAGTAGTAGTAAAAGTAGTAGTTGTGGATGCTGCATTGTTCCAAACGGCACCGCCTTTTGGACAAGACCACCTGGCTAGTGGCCCCCCGGGTGATTTGAGTTTGAGACCCCAGCTCTATAGGAAATGAAGGCTCAGATAAGACTCACCCAGACACAACTGACTGTGAATGTAAACATATTTTAAAAGTCATGTTTTCACTGAAGTGTGTTTTCCTGCCTTTTTCTGCTGTAGCTGTTTACTGACCTCTAGTGGACGAATGCAGTAATCACAGCTGCTCCAGCCCATACAGAGTCAGCATGGTGTAAAATTGTAATAAACACACTGCAGGACACCAGACACCCCCGCCAACCCCACCACCCCACCCCCGACACACACACACAAACACTCACTCACTCGGGTACGTTAAGAGTGGACGTTCCACAGGATGACCGACCACACAGAAGGTCAGAGGTCACTTCCTGCTCTTTGGTTTTTGGCTCTCGGCTACTTCTCTTTCTCGTTGGCTAATCAAAGCGTCTAAAATATCTGACTAAATAACTCGAGGTGTGAAAATGCATCAGTGCGTTATGACGCACTCATCTGCATCAACTGCAACTGCACACATTTTGCCAAAATAAAAGTCCCAGGCTTTTCTCTGTGTGAAAAATAAAAAAAGTCACATTTATATTTTCAGTGTATTTTTTTTAAAATAGCCAAATTGTAACAAAGTGAACCAGCTGAATCAAATCATTATTGAATCATATTGTAATTAAACTGAATCTTTGTGAGGTCAGAGATTTATACCTGTACAATATAACCAATTAATGCTACAGTGATGAAAACCCCAGTTGGCAACGAATAGGCACAAAGTTTCTATCATATATATATGAATTTATATATTTATATATATATATATATACACAATGGAGTCCAAAGGTTTGAGAGCGCTGGTGAAAATGCTTCTATTTTGCATTCTTATGTAACTGAACACAAACGTTTTCATTACAAATTATATTATGAGCATTAAAAGTGTAATCTTTGAAATTTTAATATGAATTTCAGAATTTCTTCATATTTGGTGGTGCGTCCATCATTGTCTTGAGCTGTATGGACTCCACACTTTTGTGTAAAAGTCTACTCAGCAGATCAGACCCACCTGAGAGTCTGAACACGAGCTTCACTGGAAGGAATAAGACTAAACAAAACTGACCTTTTTAAGGTCAAAGTCTAAAAATTTGCATATATTTGAAAAGTCATGTAAAATCATGAATATTTCTTATTGTCAAAAAATTTGCTTTACATTTTTCAAAATTCTAAAACTGTTGTTTATCTCAGATGTTTACGAAGCCCTGCTGGTGACATCTCATATAAACAAAAATAAGTCATCTTACTAAGTCGTGGCCACGCATTAGGATCTCATTCCCACGCCTTACTAAGTCGTGGCCACGCATTAGGATCTCATTCCCACGCCTTACTAAGTCGTGGCCACTCATTATTTTTATTTATACAGGATGTCACCAGCGGGGCTCCCTACGTGTTGAATGTGGACCCCACTGTATATAAATATAAACGTGTATGTAAATAAAATGTATAATTAAAGGAGGCAGCATGTTCACACTGTAATAAGGGTGATATCAGAAATTGTGAGTTAATAAAGGAAAATAAAAACGACCCAAGTTGTTTTGTTTTGGTAAAGGACCTCTCTGTGACCCTTCCCTGCATTCCTCCTTCATTCCCTCCTTCCGTCTGCTCTGTCTATCCCGTGCCCGAGCTCAGAAAGGGGGGGTACTGCGGGAGAGATAATGCACGGCTGCAAAATAATGCACAAAAATCTACAGAAAACATGAGCACACTTCATATCATACAGCGTAAAACCATACACAGCTGATCCGTCACAGAGGAAATGCAGCGTTTGAGAAACGTCTCCGAGTGTTTGTGGTTTTCTCCTGTTCTCTTCTCCTCCGTCTCCTCTCTTCCTCCGCCGAGTGTGTGATCCGATTCTCCCCGGGCCGCCGCTGTGGCCTGCGTGTGTGTGTGTGTGTGTGTGCGCTGTAAGCTTGTGAGTTCAAGCAAACGAAGCAAACGAAAAAGAAACGACGTTATGCGTCCACCCGAATGTCACTCGATAACAGATTTCAGTAATTATTATATATTTCTTCTTTTTTTCATTTTTCTGATGAAATAGTATTCTTATCCATTTACGTAGGTCAGAAAATAGTTCTTTGCTTGCTCTTTTTGTAGTTTTTTGTCGTCTATTTTTTTCCCAAAATACTTCGTTAGAAAAGAGTCGTTCTCAGCAGGTTGGTGAGAAAAATAGAGATTGTGAAAAGCTCAGGCTGCGCTCGGTGTGTCCCGTCCGCACGCGCCGCCGAAACGGCGGAAAAGAGAGAACGAGAGAGAAGCTGGACGCTTTCTGAAGGGACGAGAGCTCCTCTTCTCTTCACTAACCTGCTCCTTTCCACAGAGCAGAACTCCAGTCCAGTCCGGTCTGATCCAGTCCAGTCTAGTCTAGTCTAGTTCATCCTAGAGTTTGGCTCCGTCCAGTCTGGTCTGATCCAGTCCAGTCCAGTATAGTCTTGTTTATGCTGGTTCGGTCCAGTCCGATCGAGTGTGGCTCAGTCCAGTCCAGATCGATTCAATCCAGTCCAGTTCGGTCTGGCTTGATCCAGATCCCTCAAATCCAGTTTAGTGCAGTCCACCTGACACAGTCCAGTCCAGTCCACCCTGGTCTACTCCAGTCCTGTTAGGTCTAGTTGGGTTCATGCCAGTTCAGTCCAACTGAATCTGGCTCAGTCCAGTCTGACTTGCCCTAGTCTAGTCCATTCTGTTAAATTAAGCTTAGTCCAATCCGGTTTAGTCCAGTCCGTCTTTAATCCAGTCCAGTCCGATTGAGTCTAATGCATCAATGCTTGATCCGGTCCCGTTCAGTTCTGCCCAGTCCAGTCCAACTTGATCCACTCCAGTCTGGTTCAGTCCATCCAGTCCAGTCTGGCTTGATCCAGTCCAGTCCAGTCCAGTTCAGTCCGGTCTGGTCCAGCAGAATCTGTTCAAATCTCTGACAGACACTTCCGTCTTTGCTGCTTTATCTCTCCTCCTCTTTCGCTCCCTCTGTCTGTTCTTTCTTCCTGTTTCACTCCATCCCTCCTTTCTTTCCTTCTCTCTTGACCCTGTAACCTCTCTTCATCCCTCTCTCTCTCTCTCTCTCCCTCTCTCCTTCTCTCCCTCCCTCTTCAGAAGCCCTGTATGTGACAGTAGGCCTCCAGGCTGGAGAAGAGGATGTAGAGGAACCACAGGCTGAGGAAGAAGAGGGTGGTGAAGATGCGATGGCTGCGGGGGCCGCCCAGCTCCCCGCCGATGTGCGCCCGCCGCCGGTACAGCAACACACTCACCGCCAGGAAGGCAAAGATGGTGAAGAGTGTGACGGAGAAGGCCAGGGAGCCGGCCGGAACCTCGAACGCTCGGCCCTGCATGTGCCAGTAGATGGCAGCCACGGACCAGGCCACGCCGATGCCCAGGAAAACGTTAACGGCGTTGCTACCGGTTACGTTACCAATGGAGGCGTCCGCGTACGTGTCCTGGACGGCCGCGACTTTACTGGCAAAGGTGTCTGAAAGAGAGAGAGAGCGAGAGAGAGAGAGTCAGAAATAATAGTGGAACAGCCGAAACAAGTCTGCTTCTTTAGCTTTGGCACTGGAGCTACGAGGCTAATAGAGCTAACAAATAATGGAAGCCTATAGCCCACCAATTAGCATTCTGCGTGCCATACTGACACATTTGGGTAGAAACTTCCACTCAAGCCTGATTTTGTCTGTTTCTTTGTCAATTTTTTTGAAATGATCATTGAACATGATGTTTTATTTTAGCATGTAGCCAAAGTCCTTATAGAAAAGTCTGTCCACTCGGCGGCCATCGTGGCAAAAATCACACAAAACTACATTCCTCTCTCTTTGAATGAGGACATATTTACTAGCACTGGAGCTACGAGGCTAATGGAGCTAACAAATTCTGGAAGCTTATAGCCCACCAATTAGCATAGTGAATGCCATACTGACGCTTTAAAGCCGATTTTGTCTGTTGCTTAGTCAATGTTTGGAAATAAAAATTGAACATAATATTTTTTATGTGTTTATATTTTAGCATTTAGCCAAAGTCCTTATAGGAAAGTCTGTGAACAGGGACCTAAATACTCGACACTGACGGTCAAATAAACGTTTCAAGAACATATTTCAAATCACTGATAAAATCTGGCAAAAACATTATAAATAGCTCGTATCGTTTGGCTCAATAACGCACAAAAAACATGTATTTTGGGCTGTTCTGGCTGCTGCGCCTGCACAGATCTTCACCACGAGGGAGGCTTTTCCTGCTAGTGGTGTAACCAGAGAGCTAACAGGGTCTCTTTATTAAAGGGCGGCACTTTCTCCCTAAACAGACGCCATGTTGAGTGTTACAAGCTTTCCCTGTTCAAATTTCCACCAGTGAGCGTCTCCTCGTTTCTAACCTCTCTGATTCAGCGCGCTAGGCTAAGTCTGTATCTAACAGGGCTAATCAGTGACTGAATTCTAGCTAATGCTAAAACTTCAGAACGCAGCCTCTGTATGTGAAGGTTTGCTAATATTTAAAATATGAACTGAATTTTTTTTTTTGTTCATTTGATAAAAATACTATTTAATAATTTAAAAATGCATCTATTTTTGACCAGATTTATGGAGATGTTGAGCACATGAGCTTCTGAAACACTGGCCTATAAGGTGAGCTCATGAAGTGGCAAGTGGAAGCACAAAATGAAACGTTTTGCAATGTATGAAAATGGCCAAAAATGTATGTATTAAATATATGTTTAAAATGCCTTTATCAGTATTAGTTATTATCTGTGTTCAGTTGAGTGTAATGAAGGTTCCAGATGTAACTAAATGTACTGACTTCTGTGATCTGCACTGTACTTTACATTAACCATGTACGTCTGCAGTCAGACTCTCACACACAATGTATTTCACATAAACAAGATATCAGATCATAACTGCATTTTCACAGAGTATCAATACCCACAACACTCACTTCTGTCCTGATAAAGGATCAGATTTAAAATGAAGATACTGGAATACAAATTCATTTCTAAAAGGTATCAGACAGTGAAGAGCATCAGACAGGATTCTGGATATTTTCATACATTTTCTAATGGATTTGATAAACACATTTACACACAGTTATTTTTGTCTGCATGTAATATTTCCCCATACATTTTAAAATGAATGCATTTTCAAGTATATTTGGTTAATTTTGCAAAATATTCTGAAATACAGTTTAGTGTTTGGAATATATTTCAGCATCGACTGCAGTGTGTTTATATTTCAAATATATAAAAATATGTCCATATATTTTTTTCCTCATGGGTAATAAAGTGGCCAGTGAGTGGAAGCACAAAGTGGGTGTTTCTAATAAAGTGGCCAGTTAGTGGAAGCACAAAGTGGGTGTTTCTAATAAAGTGGCCAGTGAGTGGAAGCACAAAGTGGGTGTTTCTAATAAAGTGGCCAGTGAGTGGAAGCACAAAGTGGGTGTTTCTAATAAAGTGGCCAGTTAGTGGAAGCACAAAGTGGGTGTTTCTAATAAAGTGGCCAGCGAGTGGAAGCACAAAGTGGGTGTTTCTAATAAAGTGGCCAGCGAGTGGAAGCACAAAGTGGGTGTTTCTAATAAAGTGGCCAGTGAGTGGAAGCACAAGGTGGGTGTTTCTAATAAAGTGGCCAATGAGTGGAAGCACAAGGTGGGTGTTTCTAATAAAGTGGCCAATGAGTGGAAGCACAAGATAGGTGTTTCTAATAAAGTGGCCAGTGAGTGGAAGCATAAGATGGGTGTTTCTAATAAAGTGGCCAGAAAGTGGAAGCATAAGATGGGTGTTTCTAATAAAGTGGCCAGAAAGTGGAAGCATAAGGTGGGTGTTTCTAATAAAGTGGCCAGTGAGTGGAAGTATAAGGTAGGTCTTTCTAATGAAGCTAACACACACACACACACACACACCACACACACACACACACACACACACTGACCTGGCACAGACGTGCCGAGGGCTACAAACACCAAGGCTGTAACCGAGTCCTTCAGGCCGATGGTGCAGCCGAAGTGGCTAGCCAGGTCGCCGATGACGGCCGTTAGGAGGCCGATGATGATGATGGAGACGACGAAACACGCCCAGCCGTTCCAATAGTCAGTCGGAGGGACACAGGCAAACAGAACCTTCCAGAAAACCGTCAGAAAGTGCATGACATAATCAAAACAGGACGGGAGGCGCTCCTCTCCTGTGTCATCTTCATCCTCATCTCCTGGGGGAAATGTAGAGACAGAGCGGGGGGAGAGATGGGGGGGAAGAGTTGTGCGGTGAGGGAGAGAGTGAGAGAGAGAGAGAGAGACAGAGAGAGAGAGAGAGAAAGAGAAAGAAATAAAAATCTAGGATGCCACCATTTAAGATTAGCCTAGCATTACATGCCAAGCCTGATATTATGCATTTGCACCACATTCCATAGAGACTGACCTACAGGACAAAACAAGGAAGCGTAAATCATATTATGGAGCCAATAATGTTACAGAATTTATTAGGAATAATTCATATGCACACATTTTGATTGTCAAATCTGCCCTGTGCTGGTCTCCAAACGGTCAGTTCAGCAGTTGAACTAGCTAGCTGCCCAGCTTAGCTGTCAGGCTAGCCATATGGCACTAGTCAGCTTGCTAACCAGACAGCAAGAGGATAGAAGGCCACTGTTTGCCTGCTGACGGCAAAGCTGGCAGCTCACTGCACTCTTAAAAAAGACGGTTCTTCAAAGGTTCCTTAGTAAAGAAATGGTTCTATATAAAACCATGAACACACAAAGCTTGTTTAAAAGCTTCTTTGCATCATGACAGTGTTCTTCAGATTGATGGAGAATGTGTTCTATATGGTCCTATATAGCACCAAAAAGGGTTCTACTACTGTTACAGTGTGAAGCTTGTATCAGTAGAAGAACCCTTTTGGGTGCTATATAGAACCCTATTTAACAGGGTTCTACGTAAAACCATCCACAGTACAATCTGCATCAATCTGAAGAACTATTTTATGATAATCATGCAAATGGTTCTTTGAGAGTTCATGGTTCTATAAAGAATCATTTTACTAAAGAACCCTTGAAGAACCACCTTTTTTTAAGGAGTTTGCCTTTCGTGCACAGCGTTTTCCAGCTGGCTCAGCAGAGTGTTGGAAAAAAATCCACTTTTCATCACTCATTTTCCACTTTCAGTCCAATTCACTTATTTCCCCCTCATTTCGTTCTTTCGTTATTCTTTGTAAATTAGTTTGGTAAATAATTTTAACAGTAATATCATAAATAGAGCCGGTTATACAGCTGTGACCAAACTAGCACAGTGTCTGCGACAAAATCATTTTATATTTGGCCTTATCTCCTTTTTCTTTCAATTGTTTGTAATATTTATCTTAGTTTACTTTTCAAAATAAAAGGCTGTGTGCATTTAAAATCTGTTTGAGGAGATTAAAATCAGGACAGTGATCTAGGTGGTCCGGGGGTGGACCAGCAGTGTGATACAGTCAGCGGGGTGCCACCTTTTCAGGCCAGCAGACTGATATATGCTCGCTGTCTGAGTAGCGGTCAAACTTTTGGGGCCAGCCAGCTAGATAGACAGCTGTGGAACTGACCATTTGGGCATGTATAGCTAATTTATTACTTCACTTAGCACACAAACTGACCATTAGCTTGCTAGCTTGCTACCTTACTAAGCTGTCAAAGTGACCACAAGCCTTGCTAGCTAGCTTGCTACCTGACTTAGTTGTCACTAACCATTTGGAGCTAGCTTAGCTTTGTCCCTTACTTGGCTGTTAAACTGACCCTGGGTGGAACTTGCTAGTTAGCTTGCTACCTTTTAGAAGTCATTTAGGGGTGCAGAATGTTGCTAATGTCAGTATTTTCAGGGGTAACAGTATTGCTATTGCACAGCTGCTACAAATAAAAACACATTAATGACCAGCCACACTAAGTTGTGATGAACATATTCATTAAAAATAAAGATGTTGATTAAATTAGGCCTGTAGTTACGCAGCTGGACTGTATCAGACTACTGACCATTAGTGCTGAAATAAAAGCTCGCTAAAATCACTCAATTAAATGCTGCCTTTTTGACGTCGCAAAACCAGCAATACTGGGAAAAAAAATCCTTTTCCTTCCTGCAACTCTCCTGATGCTGCAACCAGGAGTC